CTCTTACTAAAAGTATACTTCTGTTATGGCCCAGAATTGCTTGTTTCTCTCTAAATGATCAGTTTGATTCTATTCCCTATTAAACGTATCTTGCCTTTTTCCCCCTTTCCTAAATATTTATACCTGCTTCTCTAGTTCTGTGAATATTATTGAGAATTTTAACGCCTGCTTCCAACAACTAGGCACCTAAGTGAATGTGGTATAAACAGGGGGAACTGGTGCATCTTTCCTAGCAGGCCGTAAAGGACCATTTCTTTCATTGTACCAAGTTGTGAAGCACACAGCTAAGAACAGAACTGAGGAAAGGACCAGGGCAGTTTCTTTAATGCAGCAAAGGCTCTGTAAAGGCATAGAGCAAAGACACAAATGCAGGCAGCCCTACCCCATCTCAGTGGTATGACCACCAGCAACTGGCTAAATGCCGGTTCTCATACGTAAAATGCTGATGATAATAAAACCTACTTCATAGGGCTGCTACAATTTTTCTTCCAGGAAATTAATTTATTTATGTGTACAAAACTGATTTCGTTTGTTGCAAACTTTAAAACATAATCCATATTTCATTTTTATTTCTACCTTATCCTTTAGTTGTAATTTTTCTAATTTTTATTTTCATGTAACAATTGTACATATCTGCAGGGGTCTGATGTCAGTTTTCCATATAAAATTACAATGTATAATGATTAAATTGAGGCTATTTGTATATCCATCAGGAGTTAACCTACATAGCTCAGTAAGTGACACATTTTAAAAAGTGCTAAGATAAAATGAGCTATGATTGTAATCGAAGCCTCTTATAAGAAGTATTTTGTTCTGTCTGTGTGAGCATTGTTACCTATCTCAGCTTCATAGATGAACTAGATAGTTCGATACAGTAAAAAGATTTTCTCAGGTGTTCTTGGAGTCCTCTGCGAGAGCCTAAAGTACCGTTCAACTCTCAGGCCCTCTGACACCTATTATGGCAACTGTTGTGATTTTTATAAAATGTCTCCAATACATTAGAAGGTAAGGGTTCTATGAGCAAAGAATTGAATTTTAAAATACAGGTCAACTATAAAAATCTGTGCAGCCCTCTGAAAGATCTCACATCTCTGGAGCATTTTGTCAATCCCTCCTTCATGAGGCTCCCTCCTTCGAGTTTCCATGACTCTACTCCCCTCAGACTTTCTTCCTCCCTTTTGGCCACACCCACCTTCTCTTCCTGTTGGTCCTTCTTACACTGCCTGTACTCTGAGTCCCACTGGGTCCACCGTTCACTCTCTCCTTATTCCATACTCGCTAGTTTACTGACTTCATCTATGCCTTTGAATCCAATCACCTGTATTTACAGAACAGACCTTCCAACTCAGTATGAACCCATATCTCAACTGTGTCCTGCATGTCTTTGCTTAGATACCCCAAAACCAGCTCACACCAAACATGTGTAAAGCTGTCCCTCCTCTCTTTGAGAAAGCACTGTTTTCACCTAGTTCCTCAAATCACCTGGATCCACCATTCTCTCCTCTCTCTTTCTCTTCCACGTAGTCATCAAGTCTTACAGAGTCTACTTTTATAGTAACTCTGCACTCCTTTTTCTTCTCTTTATTGTATTATTGTTCAGCTTTCATCAATTTTTATTTCTTGATTAGGTGTCATTTCCCAACCTCATGTGTAATAAACTGCATGCACTTCTGTGAACACTTTGTTCTGTAATACCCTGCCTTTTTACATACTTCTCCTTCTGTCCTGAAATACTTTTCTTTCCCTCCCTGCAAACTCAGCTTAGATGTAACCTTTTCCCAGTGTCACAAGGAGCAGACCCAGTGTCCTTCCTCTGGGTTCCCCTCGAACATGGATTCCCCCTCAGCAATAACACAGAATGCTTTCTTCTCATGGCTTCTTGTAGAAGATATAGTATAAATTCACCTGCTCACAAAATCTTTCAAAATAAGCTTTTCTCAATCCAGCTATAGCAGAACAAATTGGTTGCCACTGATGCTTCTCACAGGCTGAAACCACATGGGAAGCTCAAGTTTGATTCCCAGCCCACTCTAAAAGTCAAGCTCGGCGCTGAGTCCCTGCAGACACAGCCACTCAGGAGGATGAAGCAGGGCATCACAAACAAGATCTTCTCTAAAAATAAATAAGTATAGAAGGACTTTCAAAAAAAAAAAAAAAGCTTAT